CTCTCTCTCTCTCTCTCTCTCCTCCTGTTGGTGTGCAACGAGTCTAATGATCAGCATACCCCCACCCCCTCCCCTCTTTTCTTTCAACTCAATTGAAATACATAGACGATTAAATGAAAAAGTCACAACACAACATTGATTAAAAACTAAGAGATTACCGTGTAAGTATTTCTCTTTGAGAAAACTGACAGCATTCGCTTGCGCAAAGGTAAGTCTTGGCTATCTGTAGAAGAAAAATTAAATTCATACTAAAAAGGATTCTTTCCCGCTCAAATATAAACAAGAAGAGAGGCCAGTTTATGAACAGATTAAGTAGCGCGTAGTTTAGGAAGGTCAACACATGCGTCCGTGGGGCAATAGTTAAACTCTTTGGCATTACGCACTGAAGGCATGCGTTCAATAATCACGCAGAGAAGGCAATGACAGCTCTTTTTTGTACGTGTTTTACGGCGCTTGCAACTGCATACGGTCATAAGAGCGCGCGGGACACACCTACTATTTTCAGTTGGTAGGAAATTCTGAATTTTGCCCGGGTGGCGGCCGAAGCCTACTCTTATCGATTTTAGACCACCAAGAGATCTTTAACATGCGCAACTTGCACACGGGCCCTCCGAGATTTTTTGCCCTTGTCCGAGACGGCTAGATGTAGATCTTTCCTACCAGAAGATCAGGGGTGTGGCTGAAAGACAGCTGTAAGAAGGAGCCAAGGAGTAGAGGTAGGAAGTCTGCAGAATGAGTCAGGAGCCCAGAGGAAGGGGCAAAGGAGGTGAGGGGGGTGGGGTGGAGGGGGCAGAAAGAGGAGACGAAAGCAGACGACAGAACATTGCTAGATAGCAGGAAAGGAGGTGAAAGGAGGCAGTTTTAGAGAACAATTTTTTTTCGGTCGCTACCCGAATTCGGTTCCGGGACCTTTGAATGAGAGGCCACCACCTTAACCCCTAGGCAACGAGAGCCCCATAATGAAAGCTCTGTCTTTGTGCTAGATGGATGTATCCCACTGTGCCCAGGTTGGCTCTGACAGGCAAGGTGTGGGCAGCGCGCCTCATCATAAGTGATCTGAGGTGTTAATCAATCAACACGTCTTGTTTTGTTTTGTTTTGCCTTTTTTTTGTTTGGTAAGAGTTTTACGGTGCTCATAACAGTAGGAGGATTTAAGCGTACGAGACACATTAAGCATTTTCAGTTTGACAGGAAATTATTCTGAAATTTGCCCCGAGAGGTGGCTGAAGCCTACTCTTATCGATGTTGGACCACCAAGGGATCTGAAACGTACGCAATTTATCCGAAATGGCTAGGTGTTAGATCTTTCCTACCTTAAGATCAGGGGTGTGGCTGAAATACATCAGTAAGAAGGAGCCAAGGAGTAACAGTAGAAAGGCAGCAAAAGAGTCAGGAGCCCAGAGGAGAGGGCAAAGGGGGGGGGGGGGGGGGGCGAGAAAGCAGAGACAAAAGCAGACGACAGAACACGATTAGAGAGCAGGAAAGGAGGTGCAAGGAAAACCTTTAGGAAGAAAATTTTCCTTCGCTGTCAGAATTCGAACCCGGGATCTATTGAATAAGAGGCGAACACCGTACCTCTTACTAGACCACGAGAGCGCCTAAAAAAAGTTCGAAGTCACCGAGAAAACCGATTCAATACAATAAGCAACACAAAAAAAGGAAAAAAGAAAATATGCAAAGATTCACGTTTTAAAGATGTTTTCTTTTAAGCTAAATTAGTGGCTTACATCTGTACAAGGTTACACAAGCATAATTTGGTCTCAGTCAAAGCTTTTTGTGTAAGTAAGATTTCACTCTTTGATATTGGCAAAACAATTTAGGTTCAGATCAGACTCAAAACAAAGCCGTCCGTATAATTATGAGTTAAATTCAAACTGTCTGTGCTAATGCAATAGCCAAAAATATACAACTTACGTGAACTTTGAAATCGTTGCAATCGTCCCTTTCCAAGTCAGCTAGATGCTGGAAAAAAATAAAACAACCATCATCATCATCATCATCATCATCCTCATCCTCATCCTCATCATCATCATCATCATCATCATCATCATCATCATCATCATCATCATCATCATCATCATCCTCATCATCATCATCTTCATCATCCAATATTGGTTCGAAATTGTGATGCCAATGTATTACTTTTTATGTAATAAAATGCCATCTGAAAGTTGAGCACTGTCAAAGAGTAAACAAAATCCTTTAAACAGTAAAAAGACTGCAACAGAAGCATTCTTGGATACTTATACACCACCACTCATGTTGCAGATATCTAGATATTCGCTTTCAGACAACTTTTTCTTACAAACGCTCTCTGGATCTAACTTATCCCTAACCCTACCCGTACCCCAACTCTTACTTTATTACCCAAATTATACAGCAAATATAAATTAAGCATGACTACCTTAACCCTTACTCCAAACCCTACCCCAACCAATACCTTATTACCCGAATAGTGCAAATAGGTTAAAATGTCCAGGTCTGTAAGCTTGCCGCGTGTTGCTGCATTTTTGCTCTCTTTCATCTTTATCCACTGCATCACGCATTCTTGACACGGTATTACTAGTTAGGCCCATCGCCTTCTCCGCTAAAGACGAGAATTCGATTCTTATTTGGAGATGCCATTTTGTTTTCTTTATCTTTGATTTGGGATGTATTCCAAGACTGTTCTAGTCGGCAGCTCACCAAGTAAAATGAACTGTTTTAGTCAGAACTCATCAAACTAATTGAACCCTTTTAGTCGGAGCTCACCAAACTAAATGAACTGAATTTTGTGTGAGTGGGGACACGGCACTTTTACCTAATCAACTTATAGCTGTATAACACATGAAATCTAATTTTTATGTTCTTTTATCTGAAGGCCATACCTGCTCGTTGGGCACCTGGATATCTTCGTACAGCACGTACAAAGCTTCCATTGTCCTGGCGTAACACTCATCGTAATCCTGGCACAGTTGTGGCTCCGGAGAATCTATTTCGTAGCTTCGTCTCATGTCGCACAACAAGGCCACTGAGTTTATCAGGTACATCAGAGGCTGTCGTAGTTTGTGTGGGAATGGGTGGAATGAGGTGAGAAGAGTTAAAAAGAGACGGAATAAAGATGAGATAAGTTAAAGATGTTTAGGATGAGATTGAAGAAAGAGGTTTGGGAAAAAGCGAAATGGGATACGATCAGACGAATTAGAACGTTATGGAACGAGGTGGGAACAAATACGATTTGATTAGCTATACTGTTATGGTATGATGAAGTGAGACAAATACGAATTAACAAGTTGAAATATTATGGTATAAGGTTAATCGATATATCTATACGGCGGGCTAAAGAGGAATAATGGCGCTCATATGACCTTATGCAATTGCGAGCGCCGTAAAAACTTTACTAAAACTAAAACTTAAAAAAAAGGAGTAAGATGAAGTGAAGACTTAAATAGATGAGATCAGATAAAACGATGAAATTAAAAAGAACCAAACATACGAGATACATTGTTATGGTACTGTTCTCCTTAATCATTCGGCAGTGACTCTGGGTTTATCCAGAAAGTTCGGGACTTGGGAAAATAGTTGTGGAGGTGTGATGAGACAAAATTGATTGAAATGAGTTTTTTCTACTCCTAAATGCTTTTCGCCCCCAATAATACTCAATTTTGATCACCAAAGATGTGGGCTGCTTTATCTTGTTCATCGTGGTAACTCCTGCTGGGCGGCATACAGCATCCCAGCAGGCAAAATAAGGGAGATGATATTCTACAATACTTTGTGCCCATCAGGATAAAAACTCAGCTTATGTGTGCAACGGCTAATAAATAGTCTAACCATTACATCATATACGCCGGTCAGATAAGTTTACAAGAGATCGGAAAAGATGAGTTATGAATAGATCTCCTTCATCACGTATCAACCGCATCGAGTTTACCAATAAATAAGTACGGGATGGAGTGGGAAGAAAAATGGAGATATTAATTTGAAAAGGACGGGATGAAATCATAGCAGATTATTTTTAAAAAGGTATAAAAAATGTGTTCATGTGGGGTTGGATATAGATCTAGTTTGTTCTCCTTCTTCACAAATTAATGGAAACATTGTTATACTAGCTGAGTACCCTTTCGATGAACGGACTCAAAAGAATCGATTGTTAAAAAGTCATTGTGGAAATAGTGCGCACCGCTTGTGAATGGAAGCATCTCTTGTTTACAATTGTGTCTTAGAAGACAGACATTCCCAAGATTATATCTAAATGAAACTAATGAAAAACTGAAAATTACAGTGACTTCAGACTTTTTAATATAACTGTGCACCCTTTAAATTGTTCTGAACCACCGTTAGTTTTATTCAAATTCGAAATTTAAGTGGTTCGGAAGTTTTAGGCCACCAAAGTGACGAACCGTCACAAATGTAATATTATTATATAGATAACAAAGCTCCGGATGAACAAGACAGAATACAAAGATTACCTTCTCTTCACATCTTTCTCTTTTTTCTAGCATTTTCTCCAGTGAACACGTCATAGCATCAGAGCAAAAAGGTCCTTTCATGAAGAATTCTGGCAGGCTCTGTTTGATTTTCTGCGAAAAGAAGGGAGCAAATCACATCAAGAGGACTTACGATGAACTCACAAGGGGTAGTGGTGGAGATATGTAGGGGAAAGTCAAACGAAAGAGGTGGGTAGGTGGGGGTGGAGAGGTGTTTGGGACGATCAAACTGAAGAGGTGGGTATTTGGGGGTGGAAATACATGAATGTAACAACTGCAGTTTGATCACTTTCGTCTGTCCGAGTTTGAAAAAAAACAAACCCTTCTTTTTTCTCTGCATTCCCTTGCTAAATATCAGGGTTAGTCGACTGTAGGTTCTTCAACCGGCAGTGCAACTGATTACTGACGTGAGAATACTCAAAAACTTACACAGAGCGATTTATTTTTCCCCGTTTCAGTCGTGGGGAGACAAAAGTGAACAAGCTTGTACGCTGCCGTAAGCATA